TCTATTTTTGTTATTTGAGTTCCATGGTTGCATTAAGAACTCAAATCGAATCATGTATACATAAGTAAATAACTTATTTGTAAGACGATTGATACAAATGTCATTCTAACTCGAACATGTAAAGAGCTACTCTAATTCTTAATTGCATTTTCCTAGCCTTCTTAATTTCTAGTGCTCTCTATATCCTTTGATATCATCACGCATGCAAGTGTTAAGTTTATGAGTCATTAGTAGTTACACCGTACATAAATAAGAAGTTTTGTTTTTTTGAAAACATCACGAACCTTAGTACCATTGTAACATCCTAAAAACCACGATAAAATTTTTCATTATTTAGTTAAGGTAAAATCATTGTTTCCAATCCAAACCCAAGTCAAAACCAAAACCCAAAGCCATAAATCCAAACCCAAGTCAAAACCAAAACCCAAAGCCATAATTGTTTACAAAACATAGTTCCTAAAACGTCAGAGTATCCCAAAATCAAAACTCATAAAATCCGAAGGATGTGCACGATCACGCCTTTGCGTTGCCCCTGTCTGAAGTACCTGGAACAATAAATCAAACTGTAAGCCAAAGCTTAGTGAGTTTCCCCAAGGTACCACCACACAAAACATATAACAACATGCATATTGGGTCCACATCCATCGGGCTGGATTACCCCTCAGCCCACAGCAAGAGTTTGGCTTGTCTTCCCGACTGACAACCCATGTCTGGATTGCTCCCGAGCCCACAACATAAGTCTGACTTGCCTTACCGGCCCACAACTTATGTATGGCTTGCTCCCGAGCCTACATCATAAGTCTGGCTTGCCCTTCCTAGCCCACAGCTTATGACTGGATTGCTCCCACGTTTGTTGGCTTCTGCACAAAGCAGTATTGCCTTAACCCAACCACACTCTATCGACATATGTAACAGATAAACATATAACCAACAAACAGATAATCATGTAGATCTAACATATCACTACAACATAGCAACATCCTATATACCAGGATACATAACCTAGTAGGCCATCATTGGTACTTTCGACCCACAAGTACAGTGAGGAGAACTCACCTCACAGTTTGAAAAGATAGCAGAAAAGAATGATGCTCCAAGTGTCCACTTTACAGGTCACCTATACAACAAACAGTGAACTAAACTCAAATTACAGCTCAAAATACCCAAAATACCCCCAAGTCAAACTTGGTCAAAATTCGGGTCAAAAATCAAAAAGTCAACGAGTCAACTCAAACTGAGTACGCTCGGCGTACTCAGCCAATACACCCAGCGTAGTGCACTCCTGGCTAGGATATGGGGTCTCAACCATGTACGCGTAACGTACCATCAGGTACGCCCAGTGTACTCGACTGACATCTTTTTTCTCTTTGAATTGCTTAATATATTAAGACACCTCATCCAAAACTTCAAATCTAGTCCCGAATAACATTCTAAGTCATAAAATTTCCAACTTTATAGCTTTCCAAGGCTAGAAAGGGTCCAACAACTAAACCCTAACTTAATACACAAACCAAAACCTCATATCTCATGCATGAAGAAAGGAAAGGGGCCCAAATCACATTTTTATGGTTTTAAGAATCTAAAAACGCCTGGAAGAACAGCCCTTACGAGTTAGAGTAAGCCATACTCATGAACACCAATATTATGGGACTAAAATCATAAAAACCTAGGAACTAGCAAGATCCAAAGCAAATATGCAACAATATTCGAACTTTATACCTCCAAATGATGTGTGAGGGCAAGATACTTTTGGATCCCAGATGTATTGAGCTTCTTAGTTGATTCCACTCCTTTCTTCTTCCTTCAAGATCACCAAAAGCACACTTTCAAGCTCAAAATGCTCACACAATGGATTAGGGCTAGCAAGGGGCGATTTGGGAGATGGAGGCTGATATGGGAAGAGGTCTTGAAGATATAATATTGTTTAAATAAGGCTCAAACCCTAAAAATTAGGGTTTGACCCTCAACCACGTATACCATGCGTACGCTGAGTACGCCCAATGTACTTGGCAAAGCACGTGACCTCACTTACATACCCAAGGGACCAAATTTGCAATGTAATTTCATTCTAAGGGCAAAAACGAAAAATACTTGGATCAAGATGTTACAATCATACTATTAATATTTGTTTCAGGTTTGGTTTTTGTTCATCACTAAATTTTGGTTATTTTTTAAAAATTATGAAATATGATAAATTTTATAACGATTATGATTATAAAAAAAGGAACAATTATTATATAATCTTTAGGAATACAATATTTAATAGGTTAAATTAAAAATATAATTAGGTATTCTGAGATTTCAATATAATTTAGAAAGTTAAAATCAACTATTATTATGAATAATTTTGAAAAATACAAAACTAAATAAAACATTTAGTATATAATAAATGATTGATAGAATTTGATAATAGGATTATCTATTACAATGATTTAAAAAATGGTAAATAATACAAAACTCATTAAGTTTATACAAAAATTTTAATTTGAGATTGTATTTGTTTGTCTCAAAATTGACATTATGTTTTCTAATACAAAACTCATCAACCCAGTTGTCTGCTGACGTGACATGATTATGTATCAGTTTTGATAACGTGACATGCTGATGTACCAAAATTGAAATTTTTTTTCATAAAATACACTAAGTTTTCACTTTTTTCAATTTTGAAACTAAGTTTTAATTTTCTTTTTTCAATTTTGACACTTCATTTTTTTGTTCCAAATCGAACATCATTTTTTTTTTCAATTTTGTTCAATGTTAAGCATTTTCCATTTGATACCGTATAATTTTTTTTTTACATTTGAAATCGTATAAATACATTTTTTCAAACCTCCATTAGAAACGAGTTCAAACCATTTTCCAATTTATACGGTTTCAAATGTAATATATATATATATATATATATATATATATATATATATATATATATATATATATATACGGTTTCAAACGGAAGGATTTTACATTTGAAACTGTATAAATATATTTTTTTCATTTAAAAATCATATTTTTTTGTATAACTAAAGGTTTTTTTATATTCAAATCATAATGTTATGTATAAAAATGTATTAATTATATTATAAATGTATTTTTCATGTATTTGGTTATGTGGCACATCACATGATGATGGAGTAACATAAAACCATATTTGGAATAATCCAAGAAAACTAAATTTAGACTTCATGTAAAATCTAAAATTCAGAAACATAAAATACTTTGTTTTGTTTGATGTTCTTTGAGAGAAGATTTTTGTATACAGAAAAAAGAGCCCCTTAAAGAAAAATATAATAAAGATTTAAAAAAAAATATATCATTTATTCTTCACTATAAACACGTTCAATTAGCAATAACAAGCAAGCCGAATTGTTTATCTTTTGAGTTAGTTTGAGTTTGAACCAACTTTAGGCCCTAAAAATTATTTAGGTAATAATTTTTTTTTGATATATATACACCACATAACCCAGAAATTTTGGGCCCCTGGAAACGTGGGCCCTGGGCGGTCACCTGGGTTGCCCACCGTCTGAACTGGCCCTGGCAGACAACCGTGTTGACCGGTTTAATGGTCAGAATTGTAATAAATTGAAAAACATTGTCAAGTTTTAGACAAAAAAATATCAAATTAGAATTTCAATGTAAATGCAATGACTTTTGTGTTGTTTACCCTTTAAAAATACATTAATATATAATTGTTTTTAACTTTTATAAGAACCTCTCCTTTTTATAAGAACCTCTCCTGTTAAAGATGTTCTAAATAAAAGTTTTTGGATTTTGAACTTTATCATAACATTCGAAGTATGAATACCTTTTCTTGACTACTATTGGGATCTCTAATTTCCATGGATTCATTAGAAATTTGATTGATTTTCTCCTTGTTTGCTATACTTCATTTACTCTGTCCAAATTCATATAACTTAGTTCATAAGTATGTGCATCGAGGTCTTCGATATATGTTTAATTGAATGTGAAGGAGATGTTGAAATTGATTTTATATTATTTTTTATTGCCATCATCTCGTGTGCTTGCCCATCCACCCCATCCCTTAAAGTTTAAACTACTCCAATTGGGCATCATAATGCAAGACATTAGAATGTTATGTGCTTATTGCTCAATACAATTATTGTCAAAATTAAAATAAACAAATAAATAAATAAAATACGCCATCTCTACTTCCAATAACCGATCTTACTATCAAAATATGTATTATAGCTTCACAAATACTTGTTTGCTGTGTAAAAAGAAATAATTATATGATTTTATATTAAATTAAAAAAATTATGTATTTTTTTAAAACTCAGTAAAATTTCTTAATTCTCTCATACAAATTGAAACCAACATACATACAAATTGAAAATAAAAAAGACGAGAAACTACTAACCTCTTATCACGACTCACGAGTTGGAGAGACTGGCCGGGGAAATGAACGTGATATTATATTTAGTGAAAAGAAAATGTTAAGCACTACATTTTTTAATTTAAAAATACATTATTTTATTTTTAGTTTTTTATTTTTTTTATTATTATTTTTTTTAAATATACACCAAGTTTTTTTATAGGACACAAATTACTGAGATTGATTTTGGTTCATGCTTCTTATTAACTTACATAATAGTATTTTTATAATTGGATATTAATAAAAACAAAATCTAGCCTAATTTTTGAACTTTTTTACAAGAAAAAAAATTACAAATAGCCAAGAAAATGGGCCATATTGGTCTGCGATTTCCGTGTTTTGGGCTATGAAAATACGTAGAACATTTCATACGAAGATAGAAACCAGCAAAACATGAATCGGACTTCGGCCCAAGGCTTTTGGTAGCCCACCAACAAGGAGCCCAACAAAGACCAGCAACCCACGAGCAAGACTCAACGAGTCGTGGGGGAAAATAGTTGACATGAACTTGCAATTTGTATATACATGAGGGACCATTTCTGTAATATAATCTCTAAAGTTTAACTAAAATACAATTTTTTTTGGCAGATTAGAAAATAATAAAAAGTGCATAGTTTTAGCCGCAAACAGATTCATATTCCTGGGCACAAAACAAATTCTGTGGCGGACTCATCTTCGTGCTTTCCGCCCAGCAATCACCATTTCTGTGAATCTCAGAGCTTTTTCTCCGCATTGGCAATGGAGGCTTCAGCCCTTTTCTCTACTTCCTTCTCACCACCTTCCATTCATCTTCGATCTCGTATTCTCACTAAATCTCGACCCCATGTTTTCCCCACTAAAAAAACCAGTTTCCATCCCCTCCTCCGATCACCACCACCCGTCGCCACCAACGCTCGCCGCCTCTTCTTCACCACCACCTCCAAACCCTCCCTCTTCACTTCCCTTCCAAAACCCCTCAAACCCATCTCAGCAGCATCAACTAGTGTGAGTTCAATCGCCGAACCAAAGAAAACCCAATTACAAGGCGCAAAAATCGTACCCTTAGCTCTTTCAATCGCGATCGGTCTACTAGTGCGTTTCGTTGTCCCAAAACCAGTTGAAGTCACTGCACAAGCATGGCAACTCCTCTCGATTTTCGTCTCAACCATTGCCGGACTTGTTCTCTCTCCGTTACCCGTCGGCGCGTGGGCTCTTTTAGGTCTGACCACCACCATTATTACCAAAACCCTTACATTCACCACGGCGTTTAGCGCCTTCACCAACGAAGTCATTTGGTTGATTGTGATTTCTTTCTTCTTTGCTCGTGGGTTTGTTAAGACCGGATTAGGGGATCGAATTGCGACCTATTTCGTGAAATGGTTAGGGAAAAGTACACTGGGTTTGTCTTATGGATTAACTTTGAGCGAGGCTTTGATTGCTCCGGCGATGCCCAGTACCACCGCCAGGGCCGGCGGTGTGTTCTTACCCATTATTAAGTCCCTATCACTGTCAGCTGGGAGTAAACCCAACGATCCATCTTCAAGAAAACTCGGCTCATATCTTATTCAATCTCAATTCCAGGTTAGCTCAGCCCTAAAAAATTTCAATTCGAGTGCATTTTATTTGCATTTTGGTTTACTAATTTCGCTCAGCTTCATACAATTGTCATCGATGAAAGTAACATGATTAAAATACATTAATTTGCTTCATATAGTCACTAATGGCCATGAGATTTGCAGTAAAGATTACACGATTTGAATTTTAAAAATGAAGAGTTGATGCAGAAAACTAATGATCTTTGCATCCAGTGATTAACCCCATTTGTTAGTTATGCTTATTATTTAATTTCATGGGTCCAAATTCAATGTCATGAGGATAAATGGAGTCTTCTAGACAAATGGAATTTTTTACAAGTTGTCATTAAATTAGATCTTTATGTGGGTTAAGTATGGCCTCTTATGGAGCTAGAGGGCAAGCTTTAATTTATTAAGTTAATTGATTACTAGTATGGTCAACTTTGAGTAGAGGTCTTGTTTAATATTCAAAATATGAAGTTTTTTGATTTTTCATATTTTATTGCCTTGGACTTGTGCTTTGCTTTTTAGAATTATATAAAGATTTCATTCCTATTTCCTAGAATTACTTATTTCTTCTTATTACAACATTGTACTTTGAAAAATATACCCAATTGTAGCAATCTCATCTTAATACAAAGCAAATTTCACTATTACAATACGAAAAACATCGAAATTACAATGCTATATTTGGGTAGATTTTCCAAACTACAATGCCTAACAAGAAATAAAATGTTGTTATAGAAAGAAACAAAAGTATGATACTAGAGTCTATAACACACAAATATACAAAGATACATTAATATTTCTTGCATTTAACCCAAAATGAATGAGCACAAAACTAGGGTTTAATGAGGAAAGCCTCATTTCCTTGACTTTCTGTATTAAAGTCAAAAAGAAACACCTATATATAGCTTAGCTTATGATATCAACTAGAAGGACAAAGTGTTTGTTATTTTGATGAATTTGTTCATATAATTTAAATTTTTATTTAACAGAGTGCGGGAAATTCTAGTGCTCTTTTTCTAACTGCTGCAGCACAAAATCTTTTGTGTCTAAAATTGGCTGAGGAGCTTGGATTAGTGATTGCAAGTCCATGGGTTTCATGGTTCAAGGCTGCAAGTTTGCCTGCTTTTGTTTCACTTTTACTTACTCCATACATTTTGTACAAAATCTACCCTCCGGAAACAAAAGATACACCAGAGGCCCCTGCCATGGCTGCAAAAAGGCTTGAAGCCATGGGTCCTGTCACAACTAATGAATGGGTCATGATTGGCACCATGATTCTTGCAGTGTCTCTATGGGTACTTGGGTATGTAATTTTTATTTTAGTCTTTTAACATTTTTCATTATGTGGGTCATGGGACCCACAAAATGATATAAACAAATACAAATATATGTAACATGGTTTTGTTTTCTAGGGACAAAATTGGCATACCAAGTGTAGTCACCGCAATGTTGGGATTATCGGTATTGTTATTATTAGGAGTACTCGAATGGGACGACTGCTTAAGTGAGAAATCGGCATGGGACACTTTGACTTGGTTTGCAGTTCTTGTAGGAATGGCGGGTCAATTAACAAATCTTGGAATAGTGACATGGATGTCTAGTTGTGTAGCTAAGTTCCTTCAATCTTTCTCTTTAAGTTGGCCTGCAGCATTTGGTGTTCTTCAAGGAGCTTACTTTTTAATCCACTACATGTTTGCGAGTCAAACGGGTCATGTGGGTGCCTTGTACTCCGCTTTTCTTGCTATGCATTTGGCGGCCGGAGTCCCCGGTGTGTTGGCGGCACTTGCTTTGGCTTACAATACGAATTTGTTCGGTGCTCAAACTCATTATAGCAGTGGTCAAGCCGCGGTTTACTTTGGAGGTTTGTTCACTTTCTCTTAAATTGCTTTCTTTGTGGATGTAGTTTGACTTTTTTTTTTTGAGGTCAAATAAAATATTTTAAAAGAAAAACTTGAGCAATCATTGAAGTGTGGGAGTTTCAGTTTCAATGTGCTTTAGTGGGGCCCTTATGTCAGCCACCTTTTATATATCTGATTTACATCTCACATGATGATAACCAATTTGTGGAAACGTTTTACTTTCATTTCTTTCAAGTACAATGCCTTAATAAGAAAAAATCTTCAAAAGTAGAATGTTGTAATAGAAAGAAGTGAAAGTGCATTGCAATTTCTTGCATTTAGGTCATTGGGGGACTAACTTTGTTTGTTTTGTTCTGTTTTGTCAACAGCGGGATATGTGGACCTCCCTGATGTATTTAGAATTGGATTCATTATGGCTTGTATCAATGCGGTGATTTGGGTGGTTGTTGGCGGTGCATGGTGGAAGTTTTTGGGGTTGTACTGATTCTTAAGTACTTCCATGTAAGTAGAAGACATCTTTCATTTCCGATAACACCCTTCATTCGCGATAGGGTTTTGAGCACCAAAGAAAACTACAATACACAAATTTTGTACTTTTGGGTTTTGACCTTTTGGTATCAACAATGAACGCATGTAACAAAGACTTAATTGAGAAAGTCAGATTGTTGAGTTGTTATGTATTTGTAGTTGCATAAAATGCATCCGTTTTTAAAGTTTTTTTTTTTGCCCCTACGATGGGAGCCTAATGGTTGAGGTGCTAAATTCCAGACAGGAGGCCTGTCTAGGGTTCAAACCCTGATGCCTGAAATATTGTTAGTGTTGACCTCCACGTTAGACTTGCAGCAGGTTTACATGGGCTGTTCAGATGGTGCAATTTACCAATTTTTTTTAAAAGCATCTGTTTGTCATGTGTTTGACTAAGACTAATGTCATTGAGACAAAAATTGGAATTATTTGTCATACACGAAAAGGTGGAACAAGATGGGAGAGAGACTCGATTTGCTATTGATAGTTTTTTTTGCAAAAGACATAAATTTTTTCTTATCCATATTTTTAGAAATAACCCTAGAAAATTTATTCAGTCCAGTGTAACAACAAATGCAAACATAATGATCATATGTTGGAATGGGATGGTTTGTTTATGGTCTTGGTTTGTACACTCATGGGCATATAGGATGATGAAGTGATAAGGTATCCCTTGAACAACCAGAAAGGGCATTAGAAATGAGGGGTAAATGAAGAGTAATGTACAAGTTTTTCTTCAAAGGGTATAAGCTATTGCAACATTGTTGGTCTGGATTTGGGGAAAATGATTGATAGGTATGGTTCCAATGTGTGGCAAACATGCAAAGATCTTGATAACTTGTTCCATCATATTTTAACCTCAAATAGTTTGAACCCATGTGATCATATGATTGAAGCAAAAGGTTATTTTAACATCATTAGTAGATGTGGTTGGATTCCAGATATTTTAATATAAAACTACAAATATAATAATTCATTCCTGTTGAAAATTTATGATCAATTTGTATATAACCCTTTTTCTTCATATATTTTCTAATAAATATCTTAATACATTTTGTATTCTTTTTATCTATTAATTCATGCAACAATGTTTATATTTGACCGATTTATGCATTCAAAACAAATTATCGAATCACGTTTCACAGACGTTAAACATCTTATAAGTAAAATTTGTTGCATATTTTGTGAAAAAAAAAGGTAAAACATCATTAAATATACACATATATAAATATGTATATTTGGCAAAACTAGTTGTTAGGTCATAAGCGAAAGCTGTAACTTTTATTAGAATAGAAGTATTTGACAAAATACTTGTAAGCTTTTAAAACATAAATTATAAAAGGTAAAAGAGAAAAACCATTTGAAGTAGTTTTTTGTTTAAAATAAAAACTTTTAACTTTGTACTCACTTAAGTTTTTTTTCTTTAATTCCAGTTTTTTTTCTTAAAAGTTAAAACTAAAGCATCTAAAAGGTCGTTGTCAAACATACCAACGTGTTTAATATCAACAAAATTGAACAAAATATATATAAATAAAAATCACTATCATAGTTGACCTGGACGTGGGTATTTGACAACTTGCAAATATTTTTAAACGACCTCAATTACCTTATATTAATTAATTAGCTTTTAATGATTTAGAAAATTAGCAAAAATCAGTTACATGAAAATTAAAATTTTATACGACTGTATACCTCTACACAAAATTTACTAACATCATATATATCTAACAGCGTCTACACTTCATTTCACAAACAATAAAACATTTTTCATTTTCTATCACCTCTTACATCTACATAACCACATACGCCAGATTCATATGGGAATTATATCTGGAAACTCATCCAGAGATTTTAAGCTTCTCAAGGATCTGTTTTTCTTGCTTGGCATCTGAACCATTAGTCAAGGCCTTTTTTCCAATTTATAAACTAAGGGAGATCTATTTTTTTTTTTTAAAAAGGATACATTCTTGATCAGGGTCATGAGTGAAATTGGAGTGCAATGCATTCCCAACACTATCAACAATGGCCGATGTTGTCATAGATGACTCGATACATAGGATTGCTGTGATGGCATCCAATCGAGTCACTTCGTTTCTAAACATCAATCGTGCATGTGCTACAATCATGATACGTCAGTACACAATACACAGTACACAATACACAGTACGCAGTATACAGTATAAAAGATTTACCTTGAGCTAGTCGAATTAAACTCTCAAGCATTCGGACAGTAGTCCTTGCTGCATTTTCAGTTGCAATGCTTCTTTGAAGTTGGTAATATCTCGAAATAACATTTTCCGCCTCTTTCGATAGAGTTGGTCTAAAATACCCTTTTACAAAGTGGATATAACTGCAACATGGTGTCAAGAGTTAAAAATGTTCCCCATTAAGTTCTAATTATTTACAAATTTGCCATCCTACCTTCTGAGCGTGGAAAGAGGCCACATCTTATCAAGATCTTCGTGACATTTATTTTTCTCTGATTCTGCCTGAAATAAAGACCAGATTTAGTCATATGTATTGATGAAGAATAGGGTGCACACAACATCAAGTGGTCTAGCATGTACCTGATCAAGAATATGATCCGAGACAACTTTATCCCATTCTGGATTTTTGGTGTCCAAGAGAACAAGAACTATGTCAAATCTGCTTATTAAAGGCCCAGATAACGTTGTGTTCACAGATAGAGCTGCATTTTGTCAAGAAACAAATTATATTTTGTGACATAATAAAGGGAAAATTAATAATATATACTAGTATTCCAAGAAATGATACATTGATTAGGATCATATTGGCCTTTGGGATTTGTTGCACCAAAGACTATAGTTTTTGTACTCAGAGTGGTTACAAGACCTGCCTGGAAATTAAATAGTTTTTCAATATAAATGACGGGGATCAAAACTGTAGTTTTTTAAAAGATAAAGGGTATATTGGATAATGTATACCTTAGCAATACTTATAGTCTGCTGCTCCATTGCCTCATGTATAGTCGCTCTATCATGTTCCCTCATGCTGTCATTTTGATGTTCATATAAAGATTACAAAAACATCTTATTTTTTACTTCTTTATTTAAAAAAATAACTTTTTTTTTTTTTTTAAATATTGTACTACCTATCAAATTCATCAATGCAACATAGTCCACCATCAGCTAAAACAAGGGCCCCAGCTTCTAGCATCCATTCACCTACAAGTTCCTTGGACTGAATTATGGTGCATTCCATTCCATCAGGTAAAACAAACAGCTTTCTTTTTTTCAATTCCAGTGGAATCAACGATTCCATTCCGATTCCATCCTACCAAACAAACAAGTCTCACCTCCATCTTTGACTGCTGTGACAGTCAATCCAGCACTAGTGCTTCCCAATCCAGTAGTAATAACAGATCTTTTACTCAACTTAGCAGCAAATTTCAAAAACTGAGACTTTCCTGTTCCTGAAAACTTACATAGTTAAATAAAGGCCAAATTCCCTTAAATAAACTCAATAAATTTTGAAAAATTTAATTCAAGAAAATAGAAACTTGGCATCACCTGGATCACCAACAAGAAGAAGATGGGATTCGCCTCTAACTTTTGTCCCAGAACCATCAACATGTTGTACTCCTCCAATAAGTGTCAATGTAACTACATTAAACAATACTTGTCTTCATAACTATTTAATCTAACTTTTTAGGTTAAAATTAGAAAAGTTACCTTTTTAGGTTAAAATTAGAAAACGTTACCTGCTAGCTTTACAGTGAAGAGCCCATAAACTTGTGGACAAATAGCCCGTAGAATGGCATTTCTACCTGTAATTTTATCTATCAATAAGGTATATATATGTATATGATAATAGATGATTACCATAAAAAGAAAAAATCTCACCTTTTAATGGAGTGTCTTTGAAATCTGACCAAAAGTTTTCAAATTTCTGAATAACATCATCAGGGATTTCAATATCCAACTTTATCTCATTTATTCGCCTAAAGCAACAAAACCCAAGTTAAACCAAAAGCAAAAAAAAAAAAAAAAAAAAAAAAAAAAAAAAAAAAGATAATATGCCTATCAATTAGTACCTACCTCACATAATTGGCCACAAATACAGGTTCAAGGTCACAGCGAACATCCTTCAAATCTGGTGACCATTTAGCTGTCAAAACTCCTGTGACAATAACATCATCTGCAGATAATCTTATAAATAATTAGACTCCAAAATTCATCCTGAAAAATATAAAAAGATTACATGATACCTCCAGCTTTAACAATGTCAACAAGATCATCCTGCAAAATAACAGGAATTGAACGTGGGATTGCCCCAACACCCAAAACTTGAGTGCTTTCTTGAATCTTTATCTCCTGGTAATCATGACACACTTTGTTGCCTTCTAGAAGCTGGAAACTAGTGCTTTCACAGAATTTGGGCTTCTGTAATGATGATAACAAACAAATATAGGTGGCAAATTTGTAATTTTGTATACACTTATTGGAACAAGTAAAGAGTGAAAAATCAAAAATGACCTGAAAGGGGCAAAAAATGGGCTTGGGTATGGAATTTCTGCTTTCGAGTTCAGGATGAACTTTAAACCTGCAAATCAAATAATCAACTCTGTATCATGTTTAAAGATAATAATGTTTTATAGCTATGGAAAAGAACAATTTAATGAAAAGCAACCTCTTTTTACATTTCCTACATTCATATTCCCTTTCTCCTTCTATCATCTTAATCGATCCAGACCTAATTACTGTTCCTTTCAGAGTGAGAAGAACACCTCGATGCTTCACACGAACGCGTCCAATGCTTGGACATAATTCTGCATAATAAGAAACTGTAAAATTCATGAAGTAAACAGAAAACTTATTGAAAAAGGGAACTTTACCAGGATTATCAAGCATAGGACCACGGATTTCAATCCGAACATGCACAAATTCCTTGATAGTTGGAGGTGGACGTTCCAGACCTTCCTTATAACTTTCATTCTCCCAAATTTTCTTAGTCTTTTCATACATGATCTCCTAAATCCAAAACACTTATGACTTTCATGCAAATGTATTAACTACAACGGAAGATTGTTATGGAAGAGAAATGAAACCTGAGCCAATTTTGCTGCTTCGTCGAATAAAGGCAAGTACTTTGTTGGTTCGAAAAGGATTTCATGAGCAAGCGGAGAAT